AATCACGAAGTGAAAGCGTGATAATTGTCGCCCCTGTTTATTATTTCTCAGCTGGCTCATGCAGATAACCGTTGATGGGCACTTAATTTGAAAACAGCACTGATGTGACTGTAACTCATGCTTGCAAGACTTCTACGAGTCCTATCAGCCAGCTTGTGTTACAGTGACACAGCCTGAGTGATAATGTTCCTGCAGCCTTTTACATTTCTTATCTGAGAGGTCGTGTTTACGCTGCCGCGCAATGATTTGTTGACTTTGACGTTGGGAAAATCACAACAAAAAGAAGTTTCACAAGGGTGTGTCATAGGGCTTCTCAGCTTCTTATCGTCAGATAAAACCAGTATAACGCCTTTTGTGGCGACTAACGGAGCGAGCGAGAGGGTGGGCCTTGCACGTGCGAAATTGCGAGGGGGTACCTCCAACTGACTTGTGCACGGCACCTTACTAACCGGTCTCTAGCGATGTGCCAAATTTGAGCACAATCGGCCCAGCCGTTCTCGAGATCTGGAAGCGGCACCCTGCACGTGCGCACGTGCAAAATGGGTCCCAACTGACTTGTGCACGGCACCCTACTAACTGCTCCGTAACCGTGTACCAAATTTGAGCGCAATCGGTCCAGCCGTTCTCGAGATCTGGAAACGACCCCTGCACGTGCGCACGTGCAGCAGCACCCCAACTCTGGCACATGGATATGTATTGCCTAGTGGGTGCCTACCTACATGCCAACTCTCAGCGCAATCGGCCCAGTAGTTACAGAGATATTGCAACAATTACAAAAGTGACACCTCTTGGTTTTGCACGTGGCACGTGCATAAGGGGTCACCCACATGCATCGGGAATAGTGCAATACTTGGTAGAAGGAATGAAGCTACCCTACAAAAATTACCGCATGTAAATCGGTCAAGTGGTTGCTGAGATATAAGCCTCGCAAAAGCGTGACCACGGCCGGCCGGCCGGCCGGCCGGCCGGCCGGCCGCTCATACTCAGAAATTTCCGTTAATCTAAGGAAAGACTACGCTCGCTTCGCTCGCTCCGTAACAAACAGTCGTCTTCTGCTTGGGCCTCTGAGGCAGACTTGAGGTCAAGTGAATTTGGTTCGTGTGATAAAAGGATAAAACAGCACTTCCGTTCGTAAACAGCTGAAAAACGGACGTCTGAGCTCGATATATACAATGGTGACAGAATACACTATTACAGAATGTATAGTTTATCCTGTATCATACCTAATGACATCGCTGTGTCGGCAATGGCCAGGCGTGAAATGGGTGAAAATTATCAGGTGATTAATATTTTAGGGCAGTTTGGACGTTAACAATTTTAAACGACTGAGTACCTATGTAGGAGTCTGCCTCTGGTACCTACAAATTTTCCGGACCAAGGCGTATACTATCGCGATAGCAGTTTTAAGCCAATTATACTGTTTTAACACATAGGTAGGTATGTACCCCTCACGTGCACAAGCCAGTCGTTCTTGCTGTAGCGGCTGTGCACCTGAATGCATTCACAGGTCATATAGCGGTGCCATTGCCTGGGGCTCTAAGATGCAGGTGTACTTATTCTGCTTCACCATCACCACTGCTGACTGCCGGAACCCTAATGACCCTAACGGCCCCTGCAGCCACCCATCCCGCCGTCCAACCGTTTTGCATCAGCTCAGTCTCAGCGATGTGTCTCCCTAACCTGCAAGTTTTCTCGCTCGCTGCCCACCGCCGTCCAACCCACTAACGTGCTGACATCTTTTCCAGCCGGCTGAAAGCTGAGCTTCAGCAGTTGCGCCGCAAGGGCGCGCTGCGTGTCGGCCTGGAGAGCAGTCGAACATGCGCCCGCTGCCGCACCGAGCTTGGGCGCATCATCAACCGGGGCGCACCCTGTCGCGCGTGCCGCATGCGGGTCTGCAAGAACTGCCGCGAATACACCGAGAATGGCCGCGACTGGGTCTGCGCCGTCTGCCACAAACACATGTGAGTGTTACCTGCCTGCATAACGGCTACCTATGTCATATTGCGAGCGGGCCGAATGTCAGCCTGTCACGAATCACGATGCCTGTAAGCCGCGTCTATTGATTGGGAGTTGGGACGACTGCTGCTTACTTACTGGCTACTGCCCATTTCTTTCTTAGCGTCCATTGTTTCTTATTACTCATTCTGCAAATTATTGCAATTTTCAACAATTCATTTTTGCTAGCGACCCATTCATGGTAACAAATAACAGTCATTCCATAACCACGCACATTCAACTCATCAACATTCCCTTTCTACCCTGACCCTTAATTAAATCACGTTTTCACTTGCCCCAGTCAAGTAGCACTTGATAATGCGTGTGCGTCTGTGGGTCATTCTGCGCCAGTGAAACGTAACTTCGCCTCGCCGCTGCCGGATTCTCACAATTAGGCGGTCGGGGAGCGCTTCCTGGCGGAGGGTGGTGCGCCATTTGACCTGCCGGTCAATGTCAGAAACAGCGGCTGGAATCTGGGTCGACTGGTGGTAAGGTGAGCTTCTGTCATGCTCGTGGCTGACGGGCTTACGTGATGACTGCTCGGTGAAACCGATGCCAAAAATAGATCATGCGCGCTCAAATAAGGTGCAGCTGTTTTGGTGGATCGGTTGCGATACACGCAAGCTGTTGTGGCACTCTTAGCATTTTCTAGCTGACAGTGCATTGCATTGCTCGTCTTCGTCCATGAATTTTCGGATAAGCCTTACATTCACTGTTATACTTTCTCTTACTATACACTATACATACATAACGGTTCTTCGAAGCGTCCTATCTTTTAGAAAAAAAATTAGTCCCATCAGGAATGGGACGAGTTCAGATTTCTGGCATTTATATTCGACAGAGACATGGCTCGCGACACAATTTTCTCTCGTAGGTACTAAAAAATTTGACAGTTTTCCACGTATTTTGTTTCGTTTTCTCTTTTTTACGTGCCGTTGACCCTTGGCTATTCAGTATTCAGACAATGTCAGCGGGTCATGACCTGTGTGTCAGTTGTCACACCACATCACACACCTATGCGGTCATCGCAGCTGCGCTGCTTAGTGCTTTTGTTGATGCAGGCTGACGGTGACCGTCGCCACGTCTCTGAGGGGAGGTGTGTGACCGTCACGGTATCTACCGCGACGATGCCGGTTTCATTACATCAAAGAAGCTTCCGGCCACCGGTAGCTTGCTGTTCCGCAGTGTCAAGGTCTAAGAGACCGACTGATGCGTCGGCGGTGATGCCTCAAAACGGCTGGGATCGTCTCAGATCGTTACGAGGATAGATGCACGAGCGCATCGGGCTGAGTGAGAAAGCAGAGCTGCTCGGCCAGGCTAAAGTAAGCATGCTGGTTTGAAGAATTGCCAACCGTAGTGCGAAGTAGTTGCCAGCGCCGTTCAAACATCGTCGGCGGTGGCGCCTCAAAACGGCTGGGATTGCCTCGGAGTAATTTCAGGATAGGTTCAAGAACGTATCGGGGCTGTGTGAGAAAGCGAAGCTGCTCCGAGGCTGTAGCGTGATAGTTTGAAGGCCTGCCAACCACTGTGCGAAGTAGCTGCGGGTGCCCTTCAGATGTCTTGGAGATGGCTTTGGGGGTCAGGCGTCAGCTACGAGTTTCCGGGATCATCCAGCTCCTTTACTGACGGACTTGGAGGGACAGGAATGAGCTCGAAGTCGACATTTCTTATCCCCCTCGTTTCAACAGTCAGAACTCGTACCGAGCTCGCGCGCCGCTCTGGGAGGCCGCCGTCGGTATCCGGTGGGTGTGGACGGCCGCGGCGCGGCAGCCGGTCATTCTCACGCGCATGGGGCGCGGTCATATCTCGCTCCGTGCGGTCGGCCGCATTGCGCGCGTCATTTCGGCGCCAGCCACCGCAGCGGTCTCAGGCATAGCGTCGCGGCGGCGCGCTCGATACCGCAGGCGCTAGACTGCGGCAGCGGCGGTATTTTAGGCGGGCGAAAGCGGCGGCAATTCTGCGTGATGACGCGGGGGAAGAGCGGCACGCACATTAGATCCCGCCAGATGACCTCGATCTCTGCTCGGAGGCTAATTACAGCTGGGGCTATTTAGTTCACCTTTTTCGTGCGTGACATTAGTTCGGTTTGTTGCTGCTGTTAGGTGAAAAATAAAACTTTCGCACACCGCCATAAATACCTGTCAAATAGAGTACTAACCACTATATTGTTTATATCTCGTCACCGAATAAGGTGTTTGTCGTAAAATTATTGGAAATCGATATTTACAGGCACCCTGGATATTTTTCCACGCAGGCATCTCTATAGATAGGCAATAGGCAAATACCGACCTATGTATACCCATATAGACCTCGGTATAAATACCAAGGTCTTCGCTCCACTTTCATCCCTGTTAACCGGCTGCCGTTGACCTCGAACCCCCCCCCCCCCCCCAAAAAAAAAAAACTACAGGTGACCTAACGTAGTGAGTAGATGGTATGAAGGGATGGGTATTTTGAGCATTGAAAATGATGGATGCCGTAGCACTTAGCAGCTGTATCTTTTGAAACTACTTATATCAATGAAAGTGTTTATCAAGACACATGCAAAAAAAAACGTTGTATACAATGTTAGATTTTAATAGAAAAATGAGTGGCGACACATTTTGAAGACAATTCGTTTCGTTTACATTCGTTGTTCATTTATACGAAGTGCAAGTTATACGGTTATATAAGCCGGCAAATAATTCTGAAAATTTCATTTTTAATGCCAGTATTGTGGACGCATTGTGACTGGTAATTGGTATTGGCTTTCGCCCTTGCTACCACTCGACTAGCCTTCGCTTTGTACATATTTACACAATGCACATATGTTTGTCGTCAGCAGGTGCTATTTTGGCAATGACATGAACTTGTAGGTGCGATGACCAGCATAGCTTAGTGGAATCATACCAAGGGCGCATGTACAATGTATCATTATTATTACATAAACCTTATCTACTGTAAAAGCCAGCATCACACCACTGCCGTGTGAGCCGGCCACCTGTCTGCTTCCGATAGTGCCGGTTTTAAGCTCAGCCCAGCCCCCACCGCGTCTCACTCTCTCACCATGGCACCTCGCGTCCTGACCTGGGCGCTGACCTGCGCGCTGACCGTTCTGGGGGCCAGCGGTCTGCTGGTTGATCCCCCACGTCTGCTGGGCGAGCTGAAGCTGGCCAACGCTGCCTTCGTTGAGGTGTACACCGCTCAGAGGGGAGAGGGAGATGACGTAGCCAGGAAAACGCTGTATGTCAGCAGCTTCAACCCGGGAAATATCATCGGTGATGATAAGGTGTACTACCTGCGCGCGCCCGGCAGGCAGATGGCCCCCGTCGCCGAGTGGGACATGAAGGTAGGTGGATGCTTGGAGGTAGAAGCAGTGGTCGTATTGGTCTCATTTTCAAGAGTTTGGTTCAGCTCCTTGGAATCGGGGCATATGTAGAGTCATCAGCTAGCTTCATAAGCGGTGTATTTTACCCAGCAGTAATAACTGTTGTCGGCTGGCTTTCTTGCTTTACGGCACGTTTGCTTCTCCAAGAACACTTAATTTTTTTTGTTTGGTTTGTTTACTAAATAAAAGTTTCCATTTCCCACATAATCAAGTTTTTAAAATGTCATTTTATGGAAGTCCCAAGTGTGTAGCGGCTCATCCTATAAAGCAAATGAACCGTAACCATTTCTCACGACTATCGTGACCGAGCGAGTCTACTCAAGCATACCGCTGATCATTTCAAACCACACAACCATCCACACACCGCTTCCTGAGTCTCGGTTCCACCTGACCTTCCCCGCTCGGCTGATCAGGTCTTGGACCACCACGCCGACTGGACCAACGACATCTGCTACACTCCCCCGGAGGCGGTCGGCTTCGAGGGCGTCACCGTGACCTCCGGCTTCCTGGTGCCGTTCAAGACTCACGGAAAGCTGCAGGTGTTCAACACGGAGGTTGAGCCGCCGGCGGGCCCGTACCTGCTCACCACACTGGACACCAAGGACTGGGCTTACCACCGCGCTCTCTGGCACGATATGGATGGAGATGGCGACCTGGACCTGAGCACCGCTCGCTTCCATCAGAACTCGATCACTGGACACATCACTAAGAGTTTCGCCTACATGACCAACGATGGCGTCAACCCGGCCGACTCCGGCCGCTGGCACCAGGTGGAGGTGATCGCTGACGGTCCGGACGTCGGCTTCCGCTGGCTGAAGCTGCCCTCGGGAGGTAAGACGTACGACGTCCTTCTCGGAGGAGAGTTCTGGAACGAGCGTCTGACCGTCTACTGGACCGAGGACGGCGACTGGTCCAACCCGGAGAACGTGCAGAGCCGCATCGTGGATGACACTACGGGACAGGTCTTCGACGTGTTCTACGACGACCTCAACGGCGACGGCGTCCCGGAGGTGTGGGCCTCCTGCTTCGACCTGCCCAACAAGAACGGCTCGCTCTACAAGTGGACCATCCCCGACGACTTCATCAACGGAGACTGGGAGCGCACCACCCTCGACACCAACTTCCACCCCAACTCGATGCTGTTTGGCGAGACGATGAGCCCCGGAAGTGCCATCATCTTCCACCCGAGCGATGCCGCGCGCGACGCCGGCAACAAGCCGCTGATTCTCCTCTCTGGTGACGACGATGGCAACCAGTACATCCTGCAGCCCGTCAGCCAGGACCCGTCCGACTGGACGTACGCCCGTCAGACCCTGGTGGAGACGGGAGGCACTACTGCCGGTCAGGTCACCGCCGACGACATCGACGGCGATGGCTTCACGGAGCTCATCACGGCCGGCTACACCGTCGGCAAGGTCTACGTCTTCACGTACGCGCCGTGAGAGGACTGACGCATCTTGATGCGACCTCTTCTGGCACTCGCGGGATGGCAGAGAATGGAGAGAAAGGAGACAAGAGGAGTCGAAGATGAGACGGAGGCGGAGAAGAGCCCAGTTGCTACATCTCTCGCGAAACCTTGATGAGTTTATATACATGCGTGACCATTTTATTGTTTTGATTGTGTGTTTTACGCGTTCATATTTAATAAACATTGTTATGTGAAGTAAATACGGCATATCGATTGTGGCATCCGTATATTATCATTCACAACCTTCGAATATCGAATGAAGACATCCGAAATATAGTCAATCACGCAAATTTTCCATTACGTAATTATCGTCACTGCGTGTGAACTGTACACGTGCCATCCTTCCCACCCCTCCCTTCTCCGTCTCCCCCTCCCTCTCCCCGATAACAGAAAGCAATTGCCCAGGCCCACTTCGCTTATCGGGCCCGGCCAGTCAGAAGCGAGCCTGTGGTGCTAGCGCCCACTGCGGACGTGCAGTCTCCTGTCTCCCCACCGCATGAGCGCGAGCGGCTTCCAGGATACGTCGCTCGGATCGCGCCCATGACCGTATATGACCAATATAGCGTCACAGATCCCAGCCATGCCACGGATTTCTTCTCTCTGAGACGCTGAGCATGCCTTCGGACGGGTTGGTTTGGCTCTCATTAGCGGATGGAGGCCATTGAGACTGAGTTGATATTGCGTCTGCTGCATAGCATGGGCTATCACCATCTGTTGCTCTGTTGGCACCGAGCCAAGCAATGAAAGGAACAGGATCAGTAACCAGCAGGCGGATCGGTCGGGCTCGTGGTTAGTACCGGTCTGACCGACGCTACCTGGTGCGCCGGACTACAGTGGTATGACGAACATTTGAGGGCGCCAGTGTTTACTACCACATACTGCAAGGGTTCTAAACATTTTTCCTGTTTTGTTTCTTTCAGTGATGTCTTAAATGATCTTAATTTTCATCCACATTAATCAGAAAGCGCCACATACCCACCAGACCCGAGCCCACCTGGCCACTATCGGCACGGTCCGCACCGGCTCGACTATCGGTGCGGTCTGGACTAGTACTCCGTCGCCGGCGCCGGGTGCCGAGCGCTCCAGAGCTCCAGTCAGTTGTGGCTTCAGCTGGAGAGAGGGTCGCGTGCTTCTACCGAGAGGTGTGCTGGCTGTGTGTGCATGAAGTGGTGGACAGAGCGGATAGAACGAGTCGTGATCATGTGAACTAACTGCGGATCATGGAGGCTTTTAAAGGTGGGAGATGATCTTTCGGCTCTTAGAAACGTAATTACAAGGTTCCATTGATATGTGACCAGTGACCACCTGCTGTCACTTACCTAATCTCTTTTTGCTTAATTCCAATTCGCCGGTGTTCGATGTTGCACGTGATACACCATGACCGAAGCAGCACACTTGGGTTGATAAATGTTTCATTTATTGGTCCCATATATTTCTCTTCGTTTCTAAGCTAACTGCATTTTCTATAGTTTGACTATAATAAATGCCGATATAACTATAGCTATTTACCAGGCCTAGTGTAGTGTTAGCTAACTGTTAAGCCTTCTTTCAGTAACCTTGCTATAACAGCATTGACATTTTGTTGTAGCTCACGAAGCTTTAATAGTATCGTTAGAGTTGTGTCGAGTTATGACCGTTTATCATATACGTTTTACCTTCCTCACTCCCCCTAAATACTGGAAGATCAATTCTTGCAGATGTTTGATAATGTTAGAATCATAGGAAACTGGTATTTTGGTCGAATGACATTAACAACTTATGATGGATCTAGCCGTTTTTTTTTGTGGTCGGCATGAAACATGAACCATGAAAAGATCACGCCTATATATTCGGCGGCCCTTTCGTTCCCATATCCCATGCGCAGGTCTCAAAGCAGTTATGTGATTTATCATGGCTCGTTTCCCGCATACATTATCAATAAGCAGTAGCGAGTATCATGACCTCACAACTTCTTGCATTCGATGACGTCATCCAAATCTCGTCTGTCAGCAAGCCTGGCATTCTTCTGCTCCATATAAGGCAAAGCCGTCTTCACCCTGCCCTCGTGAGTCACGTTCTTGTCTCTTGCTTTCAACCGGCTGTCGACGGCTGCTCTAATCCGCTGCCGCCCTTCTGTTGGCTTTCCGTGCGGCCAAAATGGAACATCGAGCTCCCGCGCAGCGCCCAGGTGCAGATTGTAGGTGTCTGAATGGTGTGTCCCCAAATGGAGCTATCTACATACAAAGCTTCCCAGCATTTGCCATTCCAAGGATCTGCTTCTGGGTCTTGGAAACTCTTATCTTGCTTCGTACTTTCCCACGGAAGTTCTTCTCGTGATGGAAGCTGTTAGTGTTGCGTGAGAAGAGAATCAGCGACCGGGCTGTCGCTCCACGCTAGTTTATCCCTCCGGTGACACATCTATCTAAACATCTGACTGGTCAGGTCTTTGCCCCATGCTGACGATACTCTTTGAGCCTGCTGGACTGGTCTGCCCTGCTGAAGATGCTGCACGTGCGTCTCACCAACCCCCGTAGTCGCTTGATCCAAAGTACAGCTATCTCGGCCGTTTGACGTGGTTCTCCGCTCTGGTAGCTACCGAGTACCATGGCAGCACTGCTCCCGTATCTCTACCTCTGCCTACCGACCTGGGGTCAAATGGCGTCACCCGGGTCTCTCCGTTCAGCGCGGCGTCACCACGGTGACAAAGCAGGCGTCACGGACCACTGCTCGGGTCACGGAGGGGAGGTGGGGGGTCGAATGAACCGTGCCACGAACGGTGGGTGCTGAGACGCAGACTAGTGCAGCCACGGGTCTAAAGGATTTAAGGCTGTATAGGAAGACACCGAAACATGCTCCCGGGTTTTTTGTTGGACATACCCTGAGGCCTTGTTTGTACGACTGACAGCCGTGTATTCTGTTATCAACGACTTCACGGCTCGTTCAGGCATGACACCGTAGCCCAGTGTCCTCCACACACCTGCTACGATCCTCCGTGTAGGGAGGCGGACACAGGAACTACGCTGGTCTGTCCGTGTCCCGCCGGCTTCCTACCCGTGTCCCAGCGTCATCCGGTTCCATGTGCCTGCTGTGGGCCAGGGTCGGGCGGCTGACCCCGCGGCACCGGCAGCTACATCGGCGCAGCGCCGGCGTCTCAAGGTGATATCCACCCAGTACACGGCACCTGCCCAACCGCTGCCTTATATGTCGCCAGTACCGATCACCGCCGTCACGAACTGCCTACATTGCTGCTGGGTGCTGGTATGCCGGCTGGAAACGCTTGCTCCCGCGGGTTGTAATTGCGACCGAGCGGGAGCGCCGGGCGACTCCTCCCGCGGGTAGATCGGGCTGTTATCTTCCGTCCAGCTGAGGGAGATATTAACAGCTCGGTCAGCTCAGCAGCGGGAGATATTAACAGCTCGCCGCCATGTGCGCCCCGCGTCGGGACGGCCGACGCGGCTCATTTTCAGTTGCGTCACCGCTACAGGCGCTGTCGGTTACGACATGACGTGGCCAGCCTGTGTGAGCCGAGGATCGCCTGCTCTGTAGTCTGTACTGACGTCCTGTGCGAGCCGCGGGTCGCGAGTGCGAGCTCTAGTCTGTATGCTGTATAGACTCTGTTAGCTTTCCGCCCAGTATGTGTAAAGTTTGAATTCCGTGGATCTCCCTGTCCAGTCTGTAAGCCTGAATTCTGTGGATCTCCCCGTTCAGTCTGTAAGTCACACGGAACTCCGTGCATCTCCGGCCAATCTGTGAGAGTTGCCGACCTGCAGTGCACCCCGGCCACCTGTGACCGAAACCAACTGACCGCGCCTGATCGGCCGGTCACGCCGAGTTATGGACCACCCGAGCAGAATCTACACAGGTTTCACCCCTCTACCTACCCACCAATCCTCTGTCTCTTTGTTATCCACCGGGGGTCCACATTCTTCGTCCATGTCACCCTGGTCAGTCGGTTTATGATGAGCTGGTCGTTCACCCATTCTCGAAATTCGTATATGCATGGACGGAAGTAAAGTCCGTGTTTACAGGGACGTCCACGTTTTTCGGTGTCACGCCGTTGCCGTTGAATTTTCGACGATGCCCTCTTGACATGACAACCAGCGAAGTTGCCCGCTTGTTACTAGCCCGATTCTGTGCCGAAATTGACGTGTTTAAGGGTAGAGAATTCGACCGACATACATGGACCAAAAAAAGATGTGATAAGGGTGTTTGCATGGACAGTGGGCGGAGCCTAATTTCTCTATGAGTTATTTTCATATATCCATGGACTTGTGGGCGGAGCTTAACACAGTCCATGTAAGCACGGTTTTATTCGCTTACTCGATTCGAAAGCATGAACCCGTCCTAGTATCACCTTTAATCGTGTTTTATCGCCATTAGATTGTATGTCATGCGCGTAATTTAACCCTCGCCAGACCTATTGTTTTTCTACATACCGTTGGTACGACCCCCTCACCTTTTCGGCCCGAATAAATAACCTGAACTCATGTGACCTTTAGGAAAAATCCGAGATGTACAAGGTGTGAGGCCTCTAGATGATATTAGCCATTAGGCACTGTAAGTTTCATCTCCCTTTGAAAGCTCCTCTGGCACTGAGAGCGTTGCGAAGTTGCGACATTTTAGGACCGTGCAGATGCTCACTTATGTCGTAGGTCATTGACTTGACCTGACCTGAAAATGCGGATGATGTCACAAGATTCGGGTTGAATCAAATGTCAGGTATGCTAAGGTCCAGCTCTCTATCTTCAGCGTGTCCCGAGCTATCGTAAAAAAAAACAAATATAAAAGGCGCGGCGCTCCCCCCCCCCCCCCTCCCTACCATTCGGCCGGCGAGCGTTAGTTAAACCGCGCCTGACAGGGAGGAGGGCTATTTAGAGCCCCTCCCCCTCCCTACACACTATACACAAACATATAAACACTAAAATGTGTGTGCAAATTTTATATAAAAAATGTGTGGAGATCTGATGATTGTTCGGAATGATGAACTCGAGTGAAGCGTGAATTGTCGGCACAGATCACCCCGTCAAAGAGCAAGAAAGTAGCTGCTAAAGAGTTAAATGAGGTCATATCACATGGGCATGAATACACTTACTACCGACTGTTCGAATTATTCAAACGTATTGCTTAAGTCTCGCTCAGCTTCCAAATTCTGCAGAACAGAAAAGACTCGGTTGATTATTGTTGCGAGATACACAGATGAGTTTTGAAATAAGAAAAAAATGGAACGCTTCACACTATATATTATCAAATATCAGCCACGCAAGTCAGCATGAATGATCAAAGAATGATATTACCTGGCGAACTGAGGGCAAACAATTGTATAATTTTAAGCCAGCTGATAATGATTTTCTTCGTGGTGAAAAGTAATCCGCCTATGTGATTGCGTCATACCGCCGCTCGTCAGGTCCGCATGAACAGGGCCAGGTCATTCGTTCGCGCGCCACCAGCGCGAGCGGACGGCGAATGCCGAGCGCATCAGTTTACATAACAACTTTGCACATGTTGAGGCGGAACAAGCAAATCCGCTGCCACAGACGAGGCATCTTTGTCACCACGCACCTTCATGAACGTAGACAATTAACATGAGTGTATGCCTAAACCTTGAACATGAATCTCGAGCCGCAGTCAACGGCGGCAGAACGCATATTCTGGGCGGGCACGCACACGCGGCGGCTGCCGACCGTGCGCGCGCGTGGGGCGGTGGCACCAGTGGACGGGCGTCTAGCGTGCGCGTGGCGGCATCGGCGCCGGTAGACGGCCGTCTTGGCGCGCGCGCGGCGGCGGCGGCGGCTGTCTTGGCACGCACTCGTCGGCCAGCTGGACGGAGTCAGAGCAGCCAGATTCCCAACCAGAACTGACGGTCTTCCGACGCAGCGTCTTCAGTACGGCCAGAGACAGACTCGTTGTCCAGCGCCTCAGTCTCCTCCGTCTGGCATCACACAGGGGTGGGGCTGGGTTAATAAAGGCTGACACGGGGAGTAGTTAGGTTTAATACCGATCTGGCAAGAGAGAGGGTAATGGGTCAAACACTGAGCTGACACAGGAGGAACGGCTGGGTCGAACACCGAGCTGACAAGGGGTGGGGGCTGGGTCAAATACCGATCTGACACGGGGAGGGGTCTGGGTAAGACATCAGGCTGACACAGAAGAGAGGTTAGATCGAACACCGAGCTAGCACGTGGGAGTAGTTAGGTCTAATACCGACCTGACACGATGGAGGGGGCCTGGTCAAACACCGAACAAACACGGGGAGAGGGCTGGGCGAACACCGAGCTTTCAACGCATAGGCGGTTACTCGACAGGCCGAAAAGGGAATGTCAGAGTGTAAGTCACCACAGGAGCTAATGCAAAAGGTAGCTGATATTAGGAAAGATAATTACTGACAGCACGGACACGGAAAAAGGCCAAGCTAGTAGTACGAGACACTATAAAGTATCACAAATTACCAAGAACACGTCGCTGGCGGTTCATGGTACGGCACATAGTTGCCGCACAACTGCTATACGAGGCTCGGGAGACCAATGCCCAGGCATCGGTAGGATTGTGATTGCAGGATTGCAAAATCCTGATTGCATTCCTTTTTGGTGGATTGCACCTGGATTTGAAATCCATTCCAAAAAACAGGATTTGATTGCGGATTGGATTGCATCATACTTCCAATTTTTGCAATCCAATCCGGATTGTGTTTGATAGGTGCTTTGAAATGGTTTGTAGCGATTGAAAATTATGAGATCGGCTTCATCGGCTTAATGTACTTTGCTATCAAGGGCTTTACATCGAAACTTGAAATAATTCAAACGCTTTTAATTTAAACGCTCAAAATAATATACGCTGATATGAACTACATATGGAAGGGCAAAATTAGGTACGTATTTGAGGGCGAGTTTTAAAAATATAAAACACTGGTTGGGTAGAGGTTAAAATGTGGGGGTGTTTGAGGCAAAAAATATTTCCCATAAAATACCTGTGCCTTAGATAGGAATTACTAGCAAGACCAGGTACTAGAAATGGGTGATTTGGGGATAGAGGCACGGCCCTCCCTCCCTCCCCCAGATCCACTAGTGCACATAATAATACAACAGGATTGCAAAAAAGGATTGCGGATTTGATCACAATCCAAGTGAAAAAAGGGGATTGCGGGTAGGAATGCAATCCACTTCGGCACTAGGAATGTGGATTGGGAATGCAATCCTTTCAAAAAGGATTTTACCGATGCCTGCCAATGCCCCGCTGACCCTGCAGATGCACTATCAGCCAAGCCAGTTCAACAGCCATATCAGAGCGACCATGACGTACATAGCTTCCATCGGTACCCCCCCCCCCCCACCTAGTACCCACCTGTTCAGTATAATCAGCTGAGATGTAGATCAGCGGCCGCCCTGCCCGCAGGTGCGCATCTCTGGGGCCGCGGCCGCCGTCAGCTGTTGTGGTGTCCCCAAACTAGCTGCCGCCGTAGCCAAAACAAGGCTCTTGTGGGCCTCGTAGCCGGCGACCAAGATCGCCACCATGTCGTCGCGTTCGACATCGTGGGCCGCGCCGACGATGTTTCCCCGCGCACGGAGCCGGAGGCCGTAAAAGCACGGATACTCCAGCAACACGTGCGCCTAATTGTCTGCTGCTTCGCCGCAGACCAGGCAGCGGCCTGTTGGACATTCGATGTCACTGCTGACTGCACTGGGCGCACTCGGACGTTGGCCTTCTTTCAATCCGGTGGAGATGCTGCCCCGATCATCCCCAGTGGCCCGACCAGCGCTGATAAGTGTAACAGCCTTCTCCCTGGTAGCAGCTCGGACCGGGGCGGGGGGCGCCGTGAGCTCCGCGCGCGCACTGGAGCAGAAGCGGCCCGCCGGGACCCATATGTCCCAGTCGTCTCCATCTGGTAGCGGCTTGGACCGGGGCGGGGGCGCGGTGAGCTCCGCGCGCGCACTGGAGCAGAAGCGGCCCACCGGAACCCGTATAACCCAGTCGTCTCCATCTGGTAAGCGGAGCAGGGAGCCACCGCCGCCAAACCATCCTCCGCCGGCCCGTCCGAACAGATCCAGACGGCCTCATCCGGCAGCTCCCGGATGCATTCCTCCGCGCAGCACGGCCACTACAGATGCTGCGAGGCTGGCCCGCGGGCCGACTGCCGTCTGGACGCGCGCGCGCAACGGCGGCGCCAGCGAGCTGCTGTGTAGGCACTCGCCCGTCGGCCAGCTGGACGGAGTCAGAGCAGCCAGATTCACCAACCGGAACTGACGGTCTTCCGACGCAGCGTCTTCGGCACGGCAAGAGACAGGCTCGTCCAGCGCCTCACTCTCCTCCGTCTGGCATCACACAGGGGTGGAGCTGGGTTAATACAGGCTGACACGGGGAGTAGTTAGGTTTAATACCGATCTGACAAGAGACAGGGTACTGGGTCAAACACTGAGCTGACACAGGAGGAACGGCTGGGTCGAACACCGAGCTGACAAGGGGTGGGGGCTGGGTCAAATACCGATCTGACACGGGGAGGGGTCTGGGTAAGACATCAGGCTGACACAGAAGAGAGGTTAGATCGAACACCGAGCTGGCACGTGGGAGTAGTTAGGTCAAATACCGACCTGACACGGGGATTGGACTGGGTCAAAGTTTAGACGTTTCTGTCACTGGCGGTGGACCTGCGCGTCGCCCTCCCCGTCGGCGCCCACCTTCGGGACCACGGCCGTAGCCAGCTTGGCCAGCTCCAGGTCACCCTTGACATTCTATAGCTTAATCTGAACACCAGAACACACAGGTCAGGTCAATTATCAGTATTTTGAGTAAATTAATAACATTTTACCAGTTTCCCACGCATTTACTTTGATGCACCATAAGAAGCGGCGGTTGCTGTGCACTAACGTTTTCCCTGTAACTACCCCCCCCCCCCCCCCACACACACACACAGGCCTGTACCTTCCTGCTGTCCTCTCTTTAGTTCTTGTGTGCGGGTTCCCTCGTCCGCAGCAAGCCCCCCCCCCCCCCCCAGACCCGACACACCTGTATCCGATGGGCGTCCGAGCGCGAGACTGTTGGTGATGGCGACGGCGTCGCCTGTATGAGCGCGCGAACAGTTTTTCTCTGGAATCCCTTGTGCACTGAAGGTTCATTTTTCTGGAGGTCGCATCCTGCAACGAGGAAAAAAATGTTAAAGAATAGCAGAATCCCAAGGGATGATGCATTACTTACCTATATGGCGGGCATCACCATACAGTTATGAAAATGCCATCAACATTTAACTGTCAAAAATGGAAATATGGCTTATGTGGCCTGCATCACTATGTTGTCATGAAAATGCCATCAAAATTCAAACATGACCATTGACCTTGAGTCTGAGTAGGTATCTTTGTACCGGGCATGAGCTGAGATTCTGCTTAGCCTGAATACTCTGAAACTGGGCTTCAGCCTCTTGGGCTCGGCTGGGCTCTTTAACAAAAGCTTATCACATGAGCAAGTCTCTGACTGAACCGGTCAGCGGTCTCTTCAACTCAATGTGCTATAAATTGAAAATTTTGATGGAAAACAACATGCAGTTCCATTGATATTTCACTTTTTTGGATCATTTACCTTTCTGTTCTCACAAACCGGAGCTGAGTTTTACATAGGCGTGGGGACAGGGGGAAAGGGGGCGACCGGAGGGCCATGCCCCCCCCCACTTTCGGAGGTGGGGGGGGGGGCAGCAATGTTAGCTCCCCCCATTTTTTGATGAACTTTTGCGCCTGTTTATACCACTCGGCACCCTGAACAGTGAACACCAAAACTTGACGATTCTTCAGGTTCGGCTTCCCCTCGAAATTCGATGAATATTTCCTTTTTGTATCTACAGCGTTAAAGTTAATGAGCGCAAATTTCCTTCACTCAATGTAGGAAACCATATCAGAAGCAACAAAAGAGAGGTCTGTTGGCAGTATTACGTTGAATACGAGGCGAGGCGTATGATAGCAGTGAAAGAAAAGATTAGACAACAGTGGCCAGAAGACCGAAAAAAGCCATGCTTTGCTGCAAATAAAATAAAAATAAAATCTGCTTTGCTGAGCCGAACGCATTGAAAATTGCAGATGCTTTCATCACACTGTCATCATCATGTCTCCATCAAAAGTTACTGTCAAAAACTTATGGTGAGCATTGGTGAGATTTCTGGTGACCTCTAGGATCTACAGTCTACAGGCTTCTGCACACACTGCTAGGGGCCATGCTGGTCACTGAGGAGCCACGCTTGTCAGTGCCCTTACGCCGGTCTCTAAGAGCTCCAAGTGGTCGATCTCTGAGGATCCCACGCAGTGTTTGGAGGCTTCACGTTGGCCCCCTGGTTCTTAGGTCATTAAGGACTAAGCTGGTCCATTTTAAGCCTCAGCAGTCAGCATAGGTCTAAGAGCCTCAGGTCGCCCTAACGGAGCCAATATCGATCTCTTAGGGGCCCTTTGCTGGTTGAGAGCTGATGCCCTAAGCTTTAAGAGGTCCCAACTCGAGTTATGACACCTGCTCTGGCCCCTGATGGCTCCATGTCGTCCTCAGAGGCCTGACTCCGACCTCTGAGGTCTCATGCTGGCCTTTGAAGGCCCCATACGAACAAATGAACCCACGCTGGACTCAGGGCCCTACGAACGATGGCCTTAAGGGGCCCCTGCTGACCTCATGGAACCCAGGGAACATCTAGAAGCCTATACCGGCCTTTGAAGGCCTCGTGCCGGCCTCTAAGGGTCTTCTCCGAGGGCCCAGTTCTGCATAAGGACTTAAAACGGCTGGCGAGGTCCTCGAGATGGCCTCTGATGGTTTCTGAGGGCTTAGCCGTCGGAGGACCGAGGAGAGCAATTAGATGCATCGAGAGTATTCCGATAGGGTTTTGGTAGAAGGGATGCAACTACCTGACATAATGACATAAATGACCGTGAATTGATCGACCTAGCGGCTGCGGAGATCTCTAAAAATAAGCCTCCAGGCTCTAAACAAGCCTAAAAATACATCACTTGAGCGGATCAACATTGACACCCATGACTTTCCACGTGGCACGGCAAGGGCCGGGCCGGAAGTTGTGGGGTTACCAAAATAGGTGGAGCGGTGTGTTCGAGACTGGCGGGTGCCAGCGAGGGCCGGGCAGCGGAGCAGCACGTGCTCCAGGACATAAAACTCTTCTCGGCACACGGCGCAGAGCGCCGCGGGGCACCGCTTGTCCAGGCACTGTTGGCCTGCCGCGGAGGGGAGACGGCCGATTTGGTGTACGTACTGGAGCGAGCGGCCCCAGTGGCCTGCCCTCATGTGGTGCACCGAAACGGCGTCCCCCCCGGTCCTCTCAGAGGATGGGGACTGCTGCGTGCTCCCGAAGAGTGGCTTGAATAGTGACTCGGACCAGTTGCTGCACCATTGACACGAGGCCTCCCGGCGTCCCAGAAGACCCTGCTAGGAGCAGCCATCTGGACCGAACTAGCGGCCCTGGCCGGTCCGTCCCGCCGGATCCACCTGCAGTGGGTGCCGTCCCATTGCGGCGTCGACGGTAACGAGCGCGCCGACCAGATCGCCAAGGAGGCGACCGCGCTCCCCCAGGCGGCGGTCCCGGTGGACGTCGCTACCGCCCACCGTGCGGCCGTCAGAATGGCCCGCGACCGCACCACCGCCGTCTGGCCGGAGGGCTGGTACCGGACCCTGATGGGGAACCGGCTGCCGCTACTGGTCGCGACGGGGGACAGATCGTCGGCCGTCGACGTCCATCAACTCCGCGCGGGCCACTGGTCACGATCCCGCCAATACCTTCACCGGATTGGACGGAACTCTTCCGAAGATTGCCGCCAGTGCCCTGACTGTGCCCTGACTGTGCGGCGGGCCGGTGCACCGTGTGCCGGGAGGAGGCCGACACGCCCCGGCACCTCTTCTTCCGGTGCCCGGCCCTCATGGGCTGGCGTCTCCGGAGGTACGGGACGATTTTCCCGAGCCCGGAAGACGTCCGCGACGACGGAGAGGTGGCGGCCCTGGCGGCCGCCGTGAGGGACCTCCAGAGCCGCACGGCTACACCGCGGTAACGCGGCTGGAGGGAACAACAACAACAACAACAACAAGGCCGCACAATGAACCGCCCGGGTAGCGAGCGGGCGTCCGAGGGCGGGGCGACCGCTTGTTTCGCCACGTCGTTCGTGCTCTCATTCCCCTCGATCCTGCAGTGGGCAGGAGCCTGGAACCCACTGCAGGATTACTTCACGACGCTCGGCCATGTTTAACAAGGTCTTCCATGCCTATCTCCGCGCCGAGGGTGGAGGCCTCACCTGGGCGGAAGCTCCTCCCCTCAATAGACTCAGGGCGGCTCGCAAGTCGAAGCACACGACGACGGGGGACGTCCCATCCCAAACCCTCTCCAGAGCCGCCCGCAGGTGAATCTGCTGCTAGACTGACAAGCGTGGCGAAAAATTCGGTGACGGCCATTCGCCGAAAAAATTCTGCGGCCGCCCTGCTCCGAAAACTTAGCGGCCGCCATGCGCTGAATTCGACGCATGCGAAGTTACGCCGGAGCTGAAATTTTCGGCGCAATCCCCGCCACCACGCCGGACATATTCGGATATTCGGCATCACGTGTATTGTTTTCCAGTCTGGCAACAGGAACGGAAAAATTATAGTCATTTGATGTTTCAACTGGATGAATTGCTTTGAAATGTCCAAGGAAGTGGCCCTTGAAAGCCGCTCTTCTGTAAAACTAACTGGCGCAGTTAAGAAGCTACTTGACAGTTGCCACAGCCAAGTTGATTTCAATTTTCAAACTCAAGGAAGACTTTAAAAATCCCAAATTTCATTCCACAGGTTCCACTTCATTTTAATTTTCAAATTTGCGGAATTTTAGCTCAAAATTAGGTAGGTAGATGTGGTAGGTATAGATTAATATTTGTGGTTCTCATTGCAATGTCAACCTGCAGATTTTACAGCATTAAGTGTTTCTGCTTTTTATGACACAGATGCTGGGTGAAGATGAGTAAATTCACAAAAGAGAGGAAACACTTTGACCAGAGCATGGCCATGGACATTCACCTAAGTTGCAAGCTTGTATTTCATACAAGGTTATTGTGCCTTTTCAGTAACAGCAGCAGGTCGGCAAACTCATCCACCAACTGTGCCCCTGCAACTGGGGCAAGCAGGGAAATGAAGTGTGACTAATGGTTGTTGACAAAGCCTATCTATTCATCTGAGTCTGTCTCAGCTGAGTCTTCATGGGTGGAAGCACTAATAGTTATGCAATGTCTGTAATTGTTATGAGGTAAAACAGTAGCTGCAATGTTGGATTATATACATAATACATACCTATGAGGCAGAATAAAAGAAATCTGCCAAGTTAAATGCAAATAATTTTATAAAAATGTAAATATTATCAACCATGGTGATCAACCATGTCTATGAATATAGAAAATTGACAGAAGTCAAAGCAAGGTTGTCAAACAGCACAGCTGCCACATACCACAAATATTCTATTAATTCAGATTTAAAAATGGATACACCCATAAATGATCACATTGATACATGCTTATGCAATCTCCAAATTAACATTTCCATACAATGTCCAGCAAAAATCCACAGCATAGGTACCTATCAAAATTAGGTGCCGGGGACCCCAAAAGCCTTAAAACTATCAATTGACACCACAGGCAAAATTTTAGGATTTTATAATTTATAAAACAATGCATGATTTTTCCCCTTTATCATAAAGACCACAGGCCAGCCAATGACCATGCACAACAACACAATTGGACAGTGATGAAATTTAACTATATATACCTCTGGGAAAAAAATCACATTTTCATTGCTCTAATCTACTCTGGATATTACCTTTAAAAAAATTGAGCCAAGATGGTCTAGAACCCTACCAACCAGGACTTCGGAAATGGCATTCGGAATTATGT